TGATCATAAATGCCTCCTACTGTTCTACCCTGACTCTAGATGATAATTCCAAACCTAAAATTCCTAATTCTCAGTGAGAGTCAGACACCAACTTATCTAGAACTACCAATGCTAGGCTTTTTGTTTCTATTAGTTGAACTCCAGGTAAGTGGAAAAGATTATCAACTTCATCACTTAGTACCACTACATTCATCCATGTATCCACTTAAAAACACAACACAATGTTCCCACACACAGATGACAGAGAATTGCAGTGGAACACTAACAACAACAACAACAACAACAACCAAACTCATTGCCATTGAGTCAATTCTGGCTCATACCAACTCCAATTGGGTTTCTGAGGCTGTAAATCTTTATAGAAGTAGATCACCCCATCTTCCTTCTGTGAAGTAGCTGGTAGGTTTGAACTGCTACCTTCTGGTTAGCAGCCAGATGCCTTCTCCACTACGCCGTTGTTGACAAATTCTTGATTCCTGGAATCTGGGAGATCTTTGTTCTACCACCTGTCTATGTAATGCCCAGATAGTTTACAAGTATATCTAGAAACCTATAAGTATGGAAGGTAAGGGGGAATCCTGGAATGGCTACGGCTTTGGAGATGGAGCCCCCAGCCAAGGTTTCCTTGGAATTCCTTTTCAGGCACTCTGAAATTATTAAGATATCTGGTATTCCCCCAAGAGCTCAGGTGTTCATTAAGTGAATGTCCTTAGGGACCTCTGTAATAAGCATTGATGCTTGTGCTTTAGCATGAAGGTCAATGTTGCTACTGCACCTGTGCAGCACAGGTGAGCCCGGGGCCCAGATGCCTAACTGTTCCTAAATCCATCATATTGTTTTTGCTCCAGAACACCCTCCTACTGCCACATCTCTGATTTGGGGTCAGGGCTTCCAACTGTAGTGAACCAGTTTGAAGCCTTGGTTTGGGATTCCCACATAATGGTGTCCATCCGCATGGAGGTCCTTCCCCAAGACATTCTGGACAGAGATTTCCTCTCTTTCTGCAATACCACCTGCTTTCCATTTTTTCAGAAAACTACTCCATTTTTAGCCTTCCAATAATACTCT